AAAGCCCCAGTAGATAGTTGTATGTCACAGCTGCACATCCTTCTAGTTGCTGTATGTGGGACTCGGCCTCAGGATGGACGGAGAAGTGGTGCCTCGATGCACGCCCGGGATCAGAACCCGGGCCTCCAGCATCGCAGCGTGCGCACTTAACCACCAAGCCACAGGGCCGGCCCCAATTAGGTTCTAATTAAATTTAAACATTTTAGAGTTTTATGTAACTTGGTTATGAGAATAGGAACTGCATTTTTTTCCCCCAAACCTTTGTCTTTATGGTGTCTGGTACGTAGGAAGTACAGCATAAATTTGTTGTTAAATTAAAATTCAAATCGAACTCCATAAATGAAACCATATAATTTGAATTAGACACAATCTATAATTCATAACATGTGACTAATCTTTGTATAATATCCTAGGCTATTGATTCTCAAACCAGGGATAATTATGCCCCCAGGGGACATTTGGCACTGTCTGGAGACATTTTTGATAGTCACAACTGGAGGAGGGGTTCTACAGGCATCTAGTGGGTAGAGACCAGGAATACTGCTAAACACCCAACAACGCACAGAACAGCCTCCCTTCTGTCCCAAGAAGAATCATCTGTTCCAAAATGTTAGTAGTGCCGAGGTTGAGAAGCCTGGCCTTACTCTGTAGTAATGTTATTGCCATTGCGTAGTAGTGTTTTTTTTAATGCCCCAGAAGTATGTTACAGTTCCAAAAACTTAAAAATATGTGTAAAAAACTATAAATAGGTATAGGCTGGATAGGATAAAAACCGTTCCTGTTGAAACTTATTTAGCGGAGGGAAATGAGTGAGAAACTTCTTCTTGTTTGTTAACGTTCTGTGGAGTATCTCTGGCATGTCAATGGACACCTAAAGGTGCTGGACAGACAGCAACCATAGCATGTAGTAGGTGGCTACTGAACATTCTGCAAATAGATTGGGATTGTGTCCAGTTAGATTTCAAATCTCAGTATTTTCAGGACAAAAAGTATGTGATACCTTCTGGCCTAACATTTGTGATTTTATTATGTTCTGAAGGGTAACAAGAGCTGGACCAGTGTTAGCGTTTCAGAAGAACTGAAAAACCTTATCATCTAATAAGATTCAGAGCTTATAATCTAATAAGGTCAGCAAAATTGTAATGAAAAACACCATGGACTCAAAACATGAGTTTTAAGCATCCCTGCTCATTCAGTATTTTGTGACAATGGCCAAATTATTTTTAACCTTGCTGACTTATCTCATGTATAAAACAAATATAAAATACTCTGATACATGGTAATAAAAAAGATTAAAGGAACTATTATACTCAATAATAAAAAGAGAAACCAATTAAAAAGTGGGCAAAGGCCACTTACAACAACATAGATGAATCTTGAGGGCATTATGCTAAGTGAAATAAGTCAGCGAAAGACAGATGCTGAATGATATCACTTATATGTGGAATCTGAAAAAGCTGAACTCAAAGAAACAGAGTACAATGGTGGTTACTAGGGCCTGGGGGTTGGGGGAAATGGGGAGATGTTGGTCAAAGGGTACAAACTTCCCTTGGTGAATATAGCTAGTAATACTGTATTTTATACTTGAAAGTTGCTAAGGGAATAGATCTTAAATGTTCTCACCATAAAAAAAAATGGTGATTATATGTGACATGATGCAGGTGTTAGCTAACCTTGGTGTGGTAATCATTTTGTAGTATATAAGTGTATTAAATCAACATGTTGTATACCTTAAACTTACACAATGTTATGTGTCAGTTATATCTCAATAAAGCTGGGGGTGGGGAATGGGCAAAGGACTTGAATGGATGCTTCTCCAAAGAAGATAGACAAATGGCCAATAGTATATGAATATCAGCTTCCTAAGGGCAGGAATCAAGTCTTAGTGAATATCTTTATTTTCCATAGATGGTACTCAGTATTAAGAACTTAGTAGATGCTCAATGTACAGTTTTGATTCACAGAAGTTTTAAAATCACTGTTTTAATTATATTCTTTCAGATCTATCAAATCTATTCAAAGCGATCTGCTGAGGATATTTATAAAATACTGACATCCTACAAGGCTAATTACCTAATTGTAGAGGATGCTATCTGCAATGAGGTGGGAACCATGAGAGGCTGTAGGGTTAAAGACTTATTAGACATTGCAAATGGCCATGTAAGTAACCATTTGGAAAGTTAAATCTTTTTGAGAAAAATGATTTTATTTAAACTTGTAATCTTCAAACTTTATTTTTGGAATTTAACTAAGAATATAATGAAAAGTTATATAACAATGAGGGGAGCTTATTAAAAGTAGTTGGAAGTATTTTTTCAATGTACAAAAGAAAAGTTGGGCATTTTTGCAAAAAAAAAAAAATTTTACCAATATCTAGATTCCTTATTCATTGCCTGTACTTGTGCATATTCAACATTTATAAGCAAAAGATGGCATAATTTCATTTGAATGATGATTTTAACTCATTATAATAATCTAAAGAGCAGTTGCATTGCTATATTCTTATGTTGAGAAATTTCTTGTAATTTGATACATATCTAGAAAAATTGCATACTAAATTACCACAGTCCTATACATTGAGTCCCTGTTAGTCACAAAAATTAGTGTATTCAGAGCCACTTTAGTTGTTAGGATTTAGCTGTATCTTAATTTTTCATTGATTTCAGGTATTTTACCAAGCTTTCTTACTTGTCAGCCTGCAAGGTACATACTGTATATCTGGCAACTAAGAAGACTGACAGAGAAGTTGGTATATCTGGTAATTAGTGTTGTCTAGCAATGGGTGCTTTTACTTACTCCTGGGAAGGTTGGGGATGGAGGACTTTAGGGAAAGTTTAGTAGGTCATTCTGAGTTGGAGCACATATTCTATTCAGGTTGCAGCCAAGACTTTTGTCTGTTCCTTCCTAAATAATTAGCTCTTTGTCTTATCATCCCAGACCAGTTGGAGGTGATGAATTAGTTTTATAATTTCCATCTTTCTCTTTCTTCATGACCCCTTAATTTTGTAATATAAACTTATTCTGTTTTCTGCTGCATGTATTTTGAATTTTCTCTCTTGGTACTTGATGTTGGTGATCTTTGGCTTAACGGGTGACAAAAATGAAATTTTATTAAACATCAGGTATTGGGTAATTACTACTACATTGCTCTCTGCTATCTGGAGCCTTTTTATTCTGCTCTTGGCTACCTTTTTGCTCCACTTTGAAGATTAGGTTACTTCTTTGATGTAATGCCAGGCACAAGGATTTAAAGCTAATCCATTCTTTTAAAGTTGGCTCTCTGACATCTTTCCTAGCCATTAGAGTAATATTTAGTGTTTTATTATAGCAAACCCTTCAAGCCAGCTAAGCTATCTTATTGAATATCATTAAAGTGAGAACGTAAAGATTTGCACTGAATAAGTCATAAAAACTTACTTGCTTACTAGATAATTGTGAGTCATTTCTACACAGGGAGAAGAGTTTGAGTGTACATTAAGAATATAGTATGTTTGGGGGCCGGCCCTGTGGCGTAGGGGTTAAGTGTGCACGCCTCCGCTGCTGGCGGCCCGGGATCGGATCCCAGGCGCACACCAACACACTGCTTGTCAGGCCGTGCAGTGGCAGCATCCCATATAAAGTAGAGGAAGATGGGCACGGATGTTAGCTCAGGGCCAGTCTTCTTCAGCAAAAAGAGGAGGATTGGCATGGATGTTAGCTCAGGGCTGATCTTCCTCAAAAAAAAAAAAAAAGAATATAGTATGTTCATTTCTCAGCCTTGGTAGGCTTCATCATGAGATTCTTCACAGGATTGATAATGGACTATGGAGGTATAGCCTTCTAAATTTTAGGATTAAATCTTTTAAAAATTGGAAGCACCTTATACTGGTTTCTCAATCTCAATGGGAAGCTCCAGAGTTTAGTAGACATGGTGACTCTTATGAAGAGGCTTCACATTTGCTAAACAATGTGAGATGTTTGCTAAATAATGTAAGATAGTCCATGTTTAGTAATAATATATTTTTTAATATAAATGTAATCACTTATATATTGATTGCATTTCTCCTATAAACGTAATAAGCTTTTTAATATTATGTTTTGTATCTTTTGATAGGTGGTTTGTGAAGAAGGTGACAAGTTAACCTACTCAAAATATGGGCGATTTTGTCATGAGGTCAAAATTAACTATTCTCCATATGTGAATTATTTCACTAGAGTATACTGGAACAGATCTTACTTTGTTTATAAAATCAACACTGTGATATCCTTTCAGTCTTGAAAAATAGCAAAGCCTTCATTTCAAAGACTTATACCACCTGAAGTAAAATGCAGTTTTCTTCAACCCACGTGGCATTTTTTGGAAATTAGAGTATGGACATTTGAAATGTTGCTGCTGCTTTTCCCCTCCTGCTGGTAACTGGATCCAGGGTTCTGTGAGGAGCGGAAGATCAGGGATTACTGTCCTTTGGTAAAATGTCAAGTCTGCCACTCGGCAATATTCCAGCTGGCTGTTTCCCTTACTGTGACGTGGTCTGTAAAGACTTTACCTTCTAAACTGTTGTAAAATTTTCCTCATGAATCTTCATTCTGTCATAACACTGATCTTGAATTTGAATATGGTCAAGGGTATATCTCTTAAACATAACATTTAATAAATTCTTTAAGTGATATAGAATAGAAGGAAAGAATTATTCTTACACTCAAGGCAGTTTCTGAAGATACTTCATGGTTTATAACAGAAATGAAAGATGATAATAAAAAACTAATTTAAATGTTAGCTGAAAATATGTGGCATTTAAATTAAAATGGAAATTATATAAAGGAAAGTGATTTTTAAGGATATAAAGATATATCCAGATTTTCCATGATATTGCTCTCATCTGTTGCTTATATAAGTGAGCACTTTTTTCGTACTATATAGTGCATGATATTGCATTTTATTATCTTATGACTAAGTGATTAGCTTTTTTCCCTTATGCCCATAAATTTGATACCAATTTAATCATGATAAAACAGTAACTCTTGTTATCTATATATTTTTTAAAACAGACATTTAAAAGAATGTTGTTCAGGTTTTTAAAAAATATGGATATAGGGTGTATAATCTATTCACATGTTTTCTACTCAAATATTAAGTAAAAAATTAAATCTTTATCAGAATAAGAATATGTACACTAAAATGAGCAACAATTTCTGGAGATATGTGTGGATGCTGTTAAGCATACCTCTGCATACAGATATATTTATTACAAAACGCAAGTGCTATTGTTTATGAAACTGTGATATAGTCATCAAAATTAAGACAAAATGACAATTATAATAAATTTCATGGCACAGTTTCACAATCTAAATGCTATGTTCCTTTAAGTTAAATGTTTTCATATTTTTAATCATTTATTAAAAGATGTTTTAGAATGATTCATTTGGCCTTAGAGATTCAGGGTAGATGTCTCATTTTAATGAGATGGGTGTATGTTTAGTTTTATTCTATACACCTGTTTAGTGAACAGGTTTTCAAAATTTTCACTTGAGTGCTGTAAAAATTACAATTTCATTACTCTAAATTACTTCATTAAAGGGAGCAACTTTCCGTTATCTTTATTTTCTGTAATATATATATATTTTTTTAAAGTATAAAAGCACATGCATTCTTAGACTAGTTCTAGGATGCTTTGCCCATTTGGAGCTTAAGAATTGTTGGATGACAGTGTCATATATCTGGTGCATTAGTTTTATTGGTTCTCATTTCATGCTTTTATATAATTTTTAACAATTATATTAAGATCGCTGCAGGCAGGGTATTTCAGGTTCTCTGTACATCTTAATAGTGAGTCACTAGTATTTACCTTCAAGCCTTATGAAAATATTACCATAGTTACCTAAGTACACAGTGAATAGTCACATGGTAGTACTTGTGATCAGAGCATGGAAAACAAATGTAATTTAGAAGTCAGCTTGTATATTTTGAAAGGAAAATAGAAAAACCTTCTTTCCATGTAGCATGAAATATTTAATTGAATTTTTATTGATTTATATTATGATTCAATATGCTGAATTAGTTTTGATTATGTGTTTTTTGTGGTTTTTTTTGTTTTTTGACATTGGTAGTTGCTTTTGCTTCTGTCAACTTATTTCTTAAATAAAATAGATTTGGAGAAGCTTTTAATTGATTTTTTTAAATAATGAAATTTTCATTCAGCATCAGTTGAAAAGGAAGATGTGAGCTTTATTATAGAAATAATAATATTATATATGAGAGATAAGCTTATTTGCTTCTATTTTAACTGTAGTTAAAACAGTAGTACTAGAAAATTTTGAGTGAGGAGCATTTAATTAATTCCCTTACTTATTCATAAAGTAACAAATGATTCAGAATTCTGCAAGTAATTCCATTTGGGTAACTTACAGTTGTCATGTGTGACAATAGAGATCTGCTGTGAAAGGAGCCAAGTTTATGGTTTTTGGACAGAAGGATTTCTCGAAGAAATACAAAATATACTTTGCCCTTGATGTTGCAAAAGCATTGAAATAAGTGCCTTAACTTTACTTCAAAGTTTACTTTTTATTTTCCAAATATATTATCCATTTCTTTCTCTTCTGTAAGAAAATTTTGGTAACTTTTTCCTCATCATTAAGCACAGAGAAAGAATCCTCACTAGGCTTCTTTCTCTGTTAATTTTAATTCATTAGTAAGCAAGTCTTTGTGAAGGGTAGCGATGGGATTTCTAGCCTGCTAAATTAATTTATTTAGCTTCCCAAATGCCAAACAATCCAACAAATAAAACTTAATTGATAAAGTATATGATATTGACTCTGCTGGTTTATATTTTTTCTAACTTTGGCGTCTGCGTCTTGGTGCTTTTTGTTAGACTGGTAGGGTTTTACAACCTAGGCAGTATGCATTGTGCTTCAGAACTAACTTTTTTCTTCATTACCTTCTATGTATATAGACAGCATGCTTTTTCAGGACATTAACCCAAATCGCCCATAGCCTCAACGTTGTGGCACCTTTCCGTACAGTCCGCATTGATTTAAGGAAAAGCAGAACCGGAGGTCAAAGAGTGTTACATGTTGCGGCTTAAAACTAAGGTTTTTTTTTTTTAAAAAAAAAGCTTATTAATTTCTCGAAGGGCGGATTGAATAGCCATCTTATTAAACTGTTTTGTTTTTGAGAAATTGTTTTTTGGCTGTTTCTATTTTTGAACTGTTAAAACATTTTGATGCCTTTTGTGGATAAAGGTAGTGCCTCTCTTTATAAAATCAGTGGGATTTCTAAAAGTTGTATGTAAGTCATTTTTTTGGTAAGCTTATTTTAAATGCATGAATATTTAAAGGGCATATATTATGAATTATTCTGTATATTTAAGAACCTTTTGTAAAGCAAATAACTACTTCCTGATTTACATCTCAATATATTTTCTCTTCATTTGTCCAGTTTTTAAAATATAGTCTCTATTGTTGCTATTTGCTAAGTTTTAGATCCCAATATGTATTAAAATTACAGCTCTGAAAAGTTACAAGTAAAATTGAAAAATTTCTTATTGAAATAATAGCTCATTATTAAGTTTCAAATGTGTAGAGTTAACACTTTAAATAAAATTAGATGTGAAAATTGCAAAGGAATATGTTTGACTCAACTATTTTCTGTCCATTAAGGTTTCTAAACATTATAGTTACTGGTTTTCCATAGTAAAAAAGGGCATTTTAGAACAAGATTTGCTGAATTTAGCATAAAGACATCTTTGAATCATTTCTGTTTATAAGTCGCTTAGAATTTGCAGTATTTTAATCTTGACATATATAATCCTATGTGCAGTTCTATAAGAGATACACTGAACATCTGACCACTAGATTTAATGGACTAATAGTATCAGAAAGAAACATGCATTCCAAACTTATAGTTTGAAATATCTCATAAACAACCCTTTCATAGTTTTAGTTAATAGCTTTGTACAGCTATTTAACAAAGATGAGTACAACTGCTTTATGTATGTTGACTTCTGAATCATATCTATGACAATGTATATTTAGATTAAATGTGCTCCTTCTGTAACTAAGGTTATGTCTTTGCAAAAGAATAGAAGTTAATTTCAATAAATATTAATTATTAATCCTTTAGAAGAGTTGGATTATAAACTAGTTTACTTCAGATTTTGTAACATTAAATGTACTTGTATCAAGAATGAAATTATTTATTTCATGCTTAATTACACTCCTTGTTTTGTTCCTATAATAAAACTTTTTAGAATTTTAAGTTGTCTTTTATTTATATATGAACCTTTTTCTGTTACACATTATTGAGATATAATTTATATACCATACAATTCACCCATTAAAAGTGTACAATTCAACAGTTTTTAGTATATTCACAGAGTTGTGCAATTATCACCACAATCAATTTTAGAACTTTTTCATCACCCCAAAAAGAAACCCCATACGTTTTAGCTGTTACCCCCATCCACTCCATTCTCAGGCAACTCCTATTAATACACTTTCTGTCTCTATATTTGCCTATTCTGGACGTTTCACATAAATGGCATCATATAATATGCAGTCTTTTGTGACTAGCTTCTTTTATTTAGTATAATGTTTTCAAAGTTCATGTTGTTGCATATATCCTTTTTTATTGCCAAATAGCGTTGCATTGTGTGGATATATCATACCACATTTTGTTTTATCCATTCATTCACGGACATTTGGTTTGTTTCTACGTTTTGGCTATTATGAATAATGCTGCTCTGAACATTCATGTGCAAGTTTTTGGTGGACATGCTTTCATTTTTCTTGGCTTTATGTCCCCTAACGTCTAGGGGTAGAATTTCTGGGTTGCGTGATTACTGTGATGATTGAGGAACTGCTAGCCTGGTTTTGAAAGTAGCTGCCCCATCTTACCATCTCTCCAGCGTGCATGAGGCTTCCAGTCTCCACATCCCCACCAACACTCGCTATCATCTTTCTTCTTGATTGTAGCCATCCTAGGGGGTGCCATGTGGTATAGCATTGTGGTTTAAATCCACATTTCCATCATGGCTAATGCTGTTGAGCATCTTTTCGTGTGCTTACTAGCCATTTGTATATCTTCTTTGGAGTAATGTTTATTCAAATTCCCAAAGGAATTGACTTTCTTTGACAACTTCTCATTTCCTGCTGCTTTGTTGCTTTGGCTTGGCCCATTCCTGAATCTGGGTCATGGGATCTTTTCAGCTTAAACTCCCATTTACTAGTTGCCTTGATCTATTATTACTTATTTCAAATTTCTGAGAGAGGGAATCTGGCCCAGCTTGAGTTTTGGGACTAGGCCATTGGCCAGTCTAATAACAATAAACTTACTGAGCATTTACTTTGTGCTCGTCAGTATGCCCTGTGTTTTGACATAATTCTTTCGTTTAATCTTTTAACAACTTTGTAATTAATATTATTATGACCATTTTACAGATAAGGGTTATACAACAAGTAAATGTTGTAACTGATATTTAAAGCTAGATTTGCTCTCTTGGCTGGCTTCTGGCATTTACCCTGGACTTAAGGAAACTGGGGGTCTAGGAGATGGGGACTTCTTTGGCAGAACTGAGCCACAACTTCAGCCAGAAGCGGCCCCAGATTATTCTCAGCTGTGTAAGCTTTGTTCAAAAAAAAAACAAAAACCGAAGCCAAGAGACCACGCGATAGCTGCTGACGTGAGGGCTCAATGCGGCAATTCTAGAGCCTTCACGCCCTCTGAGAGCGGGCTGCACAGTGTGCAGAGGGCCCCCTGCCCGGCGTCTGGGCTACTGCAGCAAGGATGGGCACACCTGGGAAGCGGCCCCGGGTGGGTGGACTGCATTGAGACCATGTCTCCGGAGTCGGTTCCGCTGGGAAGCATTCCGACCTTGGTGAGCATTTAGAGGAGAATACTGCTTGGCACCATTTATGGAAACCGAGTTGACAAAGGGATGGGAAGCCCGCGCCGGTCCCCAGCGAACACCTGCAGACGCGGGGTCGCGAACTGCTGGGGCAGCCACTGGCGAGGGGGCGTGGCCCTACGCCGATCGCGGGGAGTGGATGGGCTGCCGAGGCTCGCGGGCGGAGTCCTCCCCCGGCGCCCGCCGGCTCCGGCTGCCCCGCGGCGGACCGCGGCTCTGGGCTGCTGCCCCCGGGCCATGGGCCGTGGGTTTCGGCGGCTGGCGCTGCTCTGCCTGCTTCTGCCCCTGGGCACGGGAAGAAGGGAGAGGGCGAGCCTTGGGGACGGCAGGGTCCGCCGCGGGTCGGCGGCCCGAGGCGTCCTGGAGTTCTGCGGGCGATGCTCGCGCCCTTTCTTTGGGTCTCTACCAGAGGCGACAAAGTTCGCACGCGTTGTTTCTGATTTTATGGGGGCGATGCAAGTAGCCAGAAGTTTGGGGCGTAGCTACAAATACAAATGGAGTGCAGCGCCCGGGTCCCCCCGGCCCGGGCGCTCTGCGGTGCTGACTCTGCCCGAGGGGTCAGGAACCCGCGCTCTTCTATGCGCTCATTCGTTGTGACCCTCTCCCGGACTCGCCTAGTAGAGCTGGTCTTCTCTGAGGCTAACTCCGCTACAGATACTTAGAACTGCAGGGGCGATGGAAGGTCGGGGGTATGAGGTCTTGATTCCCTTAAATCAGTGTTCTTGAAGTTTTCTAATTGTGGGAGTGGGGGAGATTTGGCGCCTGCGTGGGAGCCAGGAAGGACCTGACGAAGATTTCAAGGCGCCCTGATGGAAATTAGAGGCAAACCTGGGCAAGAGACGCAGCCGAAAGGTAGGTCGAAGCCAAGTGTAGCCGTAGAGTGTAGACAGAGGGCGCCTCTGCCGGGGGAAGGTCTGGGGGCTCTGCCCGCCAGCTCTCTGGTTGCGCCCTGGAGTGAGGTCCGGAGTCAGGCTTTGCGATGCCCGAAGTTACGCTATTTTGGAGAGCTGTCGGTACAGTACATTCTTCTTTTCTTTCAGGACACCAGGAGGTAAATGCTGCTTTGCTCACTAATTCAGGCTGACAGTAGCTGCGTCATTTTGGTGATTCTAGTTGCACGATTTTTAAAGGTGCCCAAAGTATTTGCGTGGGAACTGCAGTGTGTAGAGATACTAAGGAGGGTCACGTCATATTCATAGGCTTACAGGGTGGCGGGGAGGTGGGGGGAG